TCTGGAGGGCTGCAAAGTCTAGACTAAGTCCATTGATAATGCTGATGAAGTGGCTTGTTGCCTACAGGAGCTCATGCCTCTCTGAACCAGTCAGTCTGTAAAGTGCTACCTGCCCTACATTCTGCCTAGACTAGTCTCAGTGACACTAAGATTAGGACAGGGGCGACCTTAATCAGTCTATTGGTCTGAACCATATTATCAGGTATTCATGTGTGGTGGGGATAAAAAAATGAAGGGGGTATGTCTTTCACCTAATCACTGGGAAGGTGTACGAAGATAGTTCAGATGCCACCTTAAGCTACACCATCCGTGCTGACGTGATTCCAACTTTGAAGTTCACCCTGATCAGTATTTCGCAGAAGGGCACTGCTGGGCTCACCACTACGAGCTCCACCATGGAGGTGTTAAGCAGAAAAGGAGCAACTTCTACCAGGTCCCATTCTCATTTAAACGAGTTTTGTTTAGTCTGTAACTTAAATCCTTGGGAAAGAAGGTGACTTAGATGGACATATCAGGGGCCAAAGTATCATTAAGTATTTGCTACCAAGAGAGAAGCTGCTACCTCCCTTTTGAGCAGAGAGTATTCCTTCACAGCTATACAGCCAGAGATGCTGGTTAGCAAGGCACTCGTGGGTGAGCCATTGTGGTGTACTAAGGTATTACACTTCTGGTCACATTTTTTGAAGGTCCCCAATCTTGCTGCTAGTTTATTTCATGACATTTTACACCTTCAATTGATTACAGGTGCAGAAGATAATCTGGTTGCATCATGTTTGATTCTTCTACAGAACACAATCCATGACTAATTGTGGGTGAAAAATTAGAAGCCATTTTTTTTAGAAATACATAATTAACTAGAACACAGGCTTAGGAAGAGTTAATTCCTTAAAAAACATAAAACAGAATTTTGATATCTTAAAAAAAAAAAAAATGTAAATGAGAATGAGATTTTAAAAGTGCTCAATGTTGGATTAACTTTTCTTCTACCAAAGTCCACATTAAAACATCCAAGAGTGGACACTAGACAATGCTGAAAGTTTTTGAAAATCCCACCTTTAGCTATCAAAAAGCAGCAACATCATTCTCTGAAATTCTACGTGACTGTGACTGTTTCAGTCAAGAAAGTTATTTCACAACTTCTAAAACTACATTTTTTTCTTCAAAACAAGGATAGTTTTGCTAATCCAACACACCTAGGGAATCTGACCAAACCACTGCCCCCTGTATAGATGTCCTCTGCATGCAAAGAGGAAAGGGCAGGGATTGGCTCTGCATCCATGGTACTGTCCATCCCTGAATATCTGCAAAGGATTTTCACAGTATTGCGGATTTACAAATGAAGAAACGGCAAGGCTATGATTGAGACAGCAGGGTTAGCATATAATCCTCTCACCAGCCCTTTATGAAATTTGATGAAAAGACTTTATTTCTTTCGCCAGAAAGCTCTGTACTAGAAACCTACTTCTGCAGAGGTTTATGAGGACAGAAGCCAGTACACGCAGGCCTGGCTTGCTGGTTCCACTATGTCCCACTGGAACGAAAAACAGGCCCCCAGACTCTAGTTAATCCTTAGATCCACCAGGAACAAAGTAACCTCTCATCATCCCATAGGCTCAGGGGCCTAGCTAGCTTCATTACTCCAAAGGAACAATACGGGGAAATTTAGAGAAGGGAACCCTGCAGAGTCTCTCTACTTTTCCAGTGTCATCACGTTTGTTTGTTTTTTTTTGTTGATTCCCAAATCAAAGAGTAGATATGACTCACTTCAGGGAGCCAATTGAGAGAGAGGACCTGGAAGATCTTGAATTCAAGTCCCAAAGTGATAGTCTAATTAAAAAATGTATCTCTTGCATAAAGAACCTGAGATTTCCCAGATAGGGACAAATGAGAAGCTCCCAAGATCCTGTTTTGACTTAAAAAACGCCCCAGATTCCTCTATGGGAGTCTTGAGGAGGTTTCTGGCTGAATCAAGTTTGGCTCTCACCTGTGGGTGGAGACTGATATTGATGATTTTAGAAGACACTAAAAGAATTCCCACATAGAAGAATGGAAAGCACTGAAAACTTAATATTTTTTACTTGGACAATTTCTCTTCCTATGGGACTTAATTTATATGGAAGCAAGAGCAGAAGACAACAATGTGCCTGAAGATCCTCTATGAGACACATCTGGCAATTTTAACAGGTTTTTTTTTTCCTAAGAAAGACTATTTGCAATTCTGAATGTTTAAATAAGGCACAAATATTAGCCTTTTAAAAAGATCATTTATAAGAGGCGAAAAAGATTCTGTAATTATTCAGTCTTAAATGTACCTAAATTTAACTTCACCAAACATGCAAGATTAAGTTACTCTTTTAAGGTACATATGGTTCAAAAAACCAAAGGAGACAAAATACTTACATTATAGTAAACACTCTATAAATTATATCAGCAATATGGAAAGGGTCTGTCCTAAGTGTGGTAATCATAACACATTTATGGTGAAAGCAATCAAAAATACTTTCAAAAAGTTAAATTTTACCACCCACCCTAAAGGTGTGCCCCTCCAATTTGTAGTTTCACTTATTATCAAAATTATTACTACTTACAAAACAACGATCCAATGATACATCAGTTTTGTCTGATTCCCAAATCCTTCCTTCATTGCTATAATTCTAATAATAATTAAAGGAACATTACAAGCCTGGTATAGCATCCTGATTTTCCTCCTTTAAGGTAAGGTTTTTAAAAATTGTTAAGGCTTGGGGTAAGAGGGGAGGGGTGTCCAACTCATCTGAAGTCAGTAAAAGCTGGTCCAACAGATGGGCACTGTTGAATATATCACCCACAAATCTCATGCAGCATTCTTGGAAGAGGCCTTGAACAAATTTACAAGTTAATATGGCTAGAATTTCTAATACAGTTTTTTTCCCCCTTCAACAGTCTTTAAGATGAAAAGGAATCTTCTCTCTTACATAGGTACATCTGTTACAAATAATCTTTTGTTTAAGTATATCATACCTCTCATCCATATATATTCTTAATTGTTTTTTATAATTCCCTCATTCTGGTTTTTCCTCACCCTGTCTTAGTGATTACTTTACCTACAACAGAAAAACAACTATTACTCAGCTTGTATTATGCATAGCAACATTCCACAACAGTTAAGGGGGGAAAAATGGAAAATAATAGCGTATTCAGGTGAACCTTTAAATTAAAGTTAGCCACATGCAGCTGCACATGTGAAAATGTAATTAATCTTTTAAAATTCTTCTTGTGATATAGGAGTAATTACCTTGGTCTCATTAGTAAGTGCTGCAATATCATTAAGAGATTTTATTTTTCTCCCTTTTATCACAACATAATCCACTTGTATGTCGGATCGGTATCAACAAAGTTGAGGGATACCATCTATTGAGTCACCTTTCTCAGCATCTTTGGTTTTCCTTGGAGCTTCCGAATCTAAATCTTCATGACGTAGGGGAACTGGTATAACCGACTGTCTACCATTCATGGTGCTAAGGAAATCCAAAGGAAAAGCTCTTCAAATTGCTTTAATGAAAAGGAAAATTCCTTCATAAACTCAAATGTGGCAACTGGTATCAAGTCAAGTCAGTCCCGAAGCTGCTGTGATCACTGGGGCACCGTAGACCACTGGGGCAACTGGTATGGTATGTTAAAACTGCAGCAATCTATTAGCAAGGCACTGCAGCACAACAAACATCATTAACCTGCTTCCTCTAGTCTTTGTTGAGGATAACAATAACTTATAAGCCATTCTTGCCAAAAAAAGGTAGGGTGGATGGAAAAATTCCTCATATCAGTAAAGGAAGAGTAGAAAGCATTCCTTTCAGTCACAACAATACATCCTCTGGTCAGTAATGGGTATACTTCAAAATTGCCAGTTATAGTCTCCACTGTGCATCTCCCTTGCTTTTGAGCCATTCTGGGTACAGACAGGAACAACCAAGAGAACAGGTGAATGGAGAGAGGTACTTCACACAAAGACAGGCACCTACTTTTTTTTAAATGCATAAGCAGCCTCTGGTTTGAAGGAGGATAAACATTTATGCCTAAGTTCAGTAAGCACAGTGTCTGTTAAATTTCCTTCCCTAAATTTGGAGAAAGATTCTCTGGTTTACATCCATGGCTAAACTGAGAGTCAGGTATATGCATTCTTAACTTGCTGAACTGATTATTTTAGTTGTCTAGAGTTGTATGTCATCTTAATTCAGTCTGCTTTATAATTCTGTATGAAACATGACTCCAAGACTCCTACAAACAGGAATTCAAAGTACCTTTTGAGAGTGACTTGTAAAAGTGAAACATACATACTCAAATGGCATAAATTAATTTTCAGACAGGATTTTATATATATATATATATATATATATATAT